TAGCATTGTGGAGGAATTCATGACAACTCTCCATACCATGGCTGCCACCCAGAAGGCCACACATGTGGATGGCTCCTATTGGAAACTGGTACAATGGCTGAGGGGCTATCCAGAAGAACATTACCCCTGCTTCTACTGGTACTGCCAAGGTTGTGGGCAAGGTCTCCCCTGACCTGAGTGGGAAGCTGAGTGGCATAACCTTCCATGTTCCCACCCCCAATGTGTTAGTTGTGGATATAATTTGCCATCTGGAGAAAGTTGCCAAATACAATGACATCAAGAAAGTGGTGAAGCAGGTGTCACAGGGCCTCTCAAGGGCATCCTGGGCTACACTGAAGAACAACTGTGTCCTGCAACTGAAACAGTGATACCCACTCCTCTCACTTTGATGCTGGGGCTGCCATTACCCTCATTGATTACTCTGTCAAGCTAATTTCCTGGCATAACAATGAATTTGGTGAAAGCCACAGTGTGGTGGACCTCTGAGGCTACATTATCTCCAAGGATTAAATGCCCCCTGGAAGACCAATTCCAGAGAAAGCACAAGAAGATGAGAGGGGCCCTTCGCCCCTGGAGAGTCTTTACTTATCCACACTGAGAATCTCCAGCTCTATCACAGCTCCATCTCAAACCCCCTGAGGATCTGAGAAGCTCAGTGTGAGCTGCATTAATAAAGTATATTGTAATCAGACAAAAAGAGAAATATAAAGCTTGGTCAACATGAAGCAATAGGAAATGAATTTCTCTAACAATCTGAAACAACTAAAAAATTGGTCAAATGATAGGAAATAATGTTTTCAGATCCTGGACATCAGGGAGCAGAAGTTGACTAATTTGCAGAAACGAAGGTGAGCCTGTGATGGCCCCAGGTTGTGGTTTAGAGAGAATATCTAGAATGCAGCATTCATCGGGGAATTCTGGTGGACTCTCTGAGTTGGGGAGATGGAGTTGATTGTTCTACTCTTGTTAGGGTTCACAGGGCAAAGTTGGAAGAAAAGAGGAAGCAGCACAAAGATGTAGCTTTGGAAAGCTGATGAGGCTTTCCCTGGAAGGGCCATCTGAATACTGCTCAGGGCACATGGGAAGAAACTACATGTTTTGGGGAAAGAACAACCTGGAACACTTGAAGGAATAATCCTTGAAACTCACACAGCTAGAAATAGTGTCTCTATCAGCCAAAGTGGAAAAACCTTCATATTCAGGCATTGTCAAGCAGAGTACTTAGAAGGGTGTTATAGCAATAGAGGAGAAAAATAGTCCTTAAAGGTTGCTTTGATTCCAATAACAAAGAATAAAAACAAGGATGAAAAGGTACAAAAACCCAACTTCAGCTGTTTCCAAATACCATCATGCTATTTCAGAACAACCACAAGATGTATATAAGAACACAAAAATAATCAGCATTCAACAAGGCAAAATTTATGACTGTCATACGGTCAAATATTACTAAATATTCTTCAGTTGCAAAGAAGCAAGAAAATACAATTTTCAAGGAGAAAAATCAATCAGTAGAAACAGACCCAGAAATGACATAAATGATAGAATGAACACACAAGGCCATTTAATAGTCCTTACAACTATAGTCTATGTTAAAGAAGGTAGATAAAAGAACACTAAGTAGAAATGCATAAGTTATAAAACACATTCAAATATAATTCTAGAAATAAAAACTAAATGATCTGGTAGATCATATTAAGTAGAATTAACAGCAGATTGGACATTGAGAAGAAAAGATTAGTGAACATGAAGAAAAGATTAGTGAACATTTTGCAATAGAAACTGCAAAATGAGAAAAAAGATTGGGAAAACAAAACAGGGTATTAGTGAATGGTGGGCAACTCCATACAGCCTAAGTGGGCGGTGAGGACATTTTGGGGGATGGACATGTCCATTACCTTGATGGTAATGGTAGCATCTCAGCTGTACACACACTAAAGTTCATTAAATAGCATATTTTAAATATATACAATTTATTGCACTTTAAGCATGTTTCAACATTATTATAAAAAAATCAATCTAGACAAAAATACCAGGTAATATCAACATGGTAAGATGGCAGTAAGATGAAAGAAACTTGGGAAATTAAGTAGAGGGGCGGAGGAACAATAATTTTCTAAGTTTATTGCCTTTTTGAAAGCATGAGTATGGATATTGCTTAACTAAAGAAGTTGTTATAAAAGTATGTTTTAAAACAAGTATCTTAAACATTTGTGGGCGGCCACTGAATGAAGCAAATTAGAATGTGTAACTTTGAAAGTAGCAGAAGAGACAGTAGAGCCAAAAATACTAATCAATCCAAATAAAGCTTTGTATAAACTGAGTTTTGTATAAATTGAACCATACAGTACATACCCCGCTATGCTTGCCTTTTTTTTCATTTGACAAAATTACCTTGAAATTTATCTATGTTGAGTATCAATAGTTCATTCTGTTCCTTTCATAATCAGTAGTATACAGACAGACCATGGTTTTCTATGAAGTCATCCTTTTTTTTTTTTTTAAAGATTTATTTATTTGTGCATTTAGAACTGGGGTACAGGCCAGAGGCTGTCATCCTTTCCGTGACTATTGCTGGTCTCTGTTCCAGGTCACTACCATCTCTCATTTGGAGTCCTGAAAAGACTCTTAACTGGTTTCTCCATGTCCATTCTTGTTGCTTTGAAACTGTTATTCAAATAACATCAAGTCTGCTTATCTTAAACATGACTTTTAAAAAAAGTGCCCTTAAATGACATACCTAAATCCACATACCTAAAATAATGCGTTTACACACTGGTCATGCTCAAACCTCTGCTGGAGCTAACTCAGCAGCTGCCACTCCCCACCTGGCAGCACACAGTCACTGAACACAGCCAGTATTCCATCGCTCTGAAGATATACAAGCGCTTTATCCTCTAGGGAATATCATCAGATATGCTCTTCCCTCTGCATTTCTTTACAGGACCAGCTCCTTACAGACATGGA